TTAGAGCGATTTGAGATAACAAAAACTATACATAGCTTTAATTAACAACGCAACAATCAACACAATCAATCCCATATTAAATCAAAAAAAAGAAAGATCAAGGTAAAACCAAAAATTCTCACCGTTATCCAAGGCAACATTGCTAACCAAGTAACCTCTTTTTCACACTCCTCTTAAAGATAGCTATAGAAAAGGACTTGAGGTTATCAGCTATGTCATTGTATATTTTATTTCAATTATATATAAATGAATATTGTATAATGCAATTTCAAATCGTTTTTTCAATCTGAAGTTGATGTCATCATTTCTTCCGCAAAACAATAATTTCCCATATAAGTAAGGTGGAAACTGCGAACTTACTATTTTATGTATCATAGTAGCAACTGAGCATCTATACATATCGACTATTCTCAACCATTTTAGCTCAATTATTTTTCCCGACGTTGAATCATGTTTTTTAAGATAGTAGATAAATCTGCAACAGCTATTGAAACTTTTGAAATCTATTTTTCGATGCAGCATCCAGACATGGATAGTAAATAGTAATACAATAAGCAATAATACGGAATATAAGAGAATCACATAATTTTTTCCTTGTCGTAATATGCTTATTACAACGGATACATGTGCATTGCAGCGCAGGGAGCTATCAAAGGTTAACCCTAATTTTTTTGCTGAATCCACTAATGGCAATGAAAGCCCACCAATTTTGATATTTAGTTCCGGCAGTAAGCTATCACGATCATTGTTGGAACAAAAAAACATAACAGAAGACTTAGAAGAATTTAATTTCAAGTTATCGTTCTTTGAGAAATTTAGTATTCTATTGAGATCACTATTAATATCTTTAAGTGCTTGAGAGACATTGGATGGAGTGAAAGCTTTCAGCAATTGTGTATCATCAGCGTAAGCTACAATGGACGAATGGGAAACAGGAAGATGGATATCTGACAGAAAAAAAAAGAATGGGCCCAGGAACGGAACCCTGCGGCACGCCGGAAGTAATAAAAGATGGCTCAGAAAATTTGTCAACTACAGATACTATTTGATGGCGCCCTGAAAGATATGTTTGGTAAAACTGTAAGGACAAACCATAATATGATAGCTTCGCACAAAGGAGCTCATGATCTATAGTGTCAAATGCCTTTGTAAAATTCAGCAGTATGAGTGCCGAGGCATGTCCATTATCATATTGCTTGATAATATCATCTGACACTTGCCGACTGGTTCTCAGCAAGAATTCGATTAGATGAGAGATATTCGCACATTAGATATTTGACTATTTGCTCTAAAAGTTTTTCTAAAACTGGAATTAGTGTGAAAGGATGCAGATCAGAAAAGTTTTCGACTGTCCTACTTTTGGGCAGAGGTTTAATCATAGAAACCTTCCAACCATTGGGAAAGCCGCTAACCTCCAAGCAGCAGTTTATCAAAAGGGCGAGCGGAAGCAAATTGGTCGGAAGGCAGTGTTTCAGCATAATCGCTGAAACACCGTCAATACCAGCTGCATTTGTACATAGAGATATAACTATTTCAAAGACAACATGTTCGCTAGCAGGTATAAATTGAAATGATATATTTTCATTGAATTTTAAATGACGAATAGATTCAACTGTATCAGGGCAATTATTTGGAGGGGAGAATATAGAGCAGAAATAGTTGTTAATAGCATTGACATCTTTTCAGGAATGTCGGGAATATTTTTACTTGTTAGGCCGGTAAAACCAATTGCTTTCCAGAGTGACTTATTGTCTCAATGTGTTAGGTGATGATTCTTTTTTTCTCTACTTACTGCATCACCAGTAGTGTTTCTCAGTTGACGATAGAAGGCAACCTAATATTGGTTGTCAGCCAGGGAGCATACGGTTAACTTATGCGTGAGGACACACATCAAGTAGGACTAAAATGTTGGATGTTAAGTATTCAACTTTATACTCTAAATTGTTCAATAATAGATATGATTCCATGGAATACTGTTTAAGACATTTAAAAATGCGTCTTTCAAAAAATTCTTAAAATCCCTGTATTGGATAATTATTGGTAAATCAAAATACTGTACCATGATCAGACATATTATCTGCTGGGTGTACTCCAGAGCTGGTCACTATATTAAAGCTGCAACTGCAATTAGTGAATATTACATCAATACAAGTCTCACGTGTTGGTGAAATTCAGGTGGGTTCGTGAATTTGCGATACCAAGTCATATGATGAAATTCAATCTAAAATTGACTGATCAGAAAGCTGGTCAATGTTAATATCCCCAAGTAACACAAAATCATCGAACTCTGGTGTTAAAAAAGATAAAATATTGTCAAGATGATCGATTAATAACTCCGTACTACTGGATGCCACCCTATATATATCTCACAACTAAGAATCTTTCTTTTATTCAGTATTAATTCCATGAATAAATGTTCAATTCCTAACTGAGATGAACACTCCTGAAATACTTCTTTACATGAAATATTACTTCTTGCATATAAACTCACACCCCCCTCTACCTGAGAATTTGTAATTTGGAATTTGCAGTATGTTAGTTGTTACAATGTGGTTAATCCATGTTTCAGAAATAGACATTATATCATAATTTTCCGAAACTACCAAGTCACTAAAGTTATCAAAACCTGTAAATAGCGACCTTACATTTAAATAACCAATTTTGAATGAATTATGAGTATTACTCATTTCTTGTATGTTTTTAAGTATTGCACATCAATCTTCAAAATACTAAGTATTGGTAGTGATGGTACCGTAGTAGGTGGGAAAAACCGGTTTTACCCCTGTCTTTAAAAAACAAAACAGTATAATCACACCCAACATGTAAAGTAAATATTGCAAAGAACCAATCATAAAAATTTATGTTGACAAAGACATGCAATTTAGATTAACTCCAGAAAAACATCTTGGGTACCATTGTTATACATATGATGTTCGTGAAAGTAAATTTTTCACTTTAACCTTGTAAATATTGCAACCTTTGTCCCTAACAGAATGCTCAACGGAATAATTCGATTTATATTTTAAATTATGTTCCTTACAGTTGACACAGCGTAACTTATTGATCCTACAATCGTTTTCTGTATGATCACCCGAACATCAAATGGCTTGAGTAGCGGTACAGTTCTTTTGGAAATGCTCTTAACGAGAACATTTAAAGCAACGAATAATAGTTAAATAATCCGAAACACTATTGCGTAACCAACCTAAAAACACATCCAGAATTCATCATGGCACATCTTACATCTTGAGGACTTCTAAAATAACATCCACAGTTTCATCGTACATATCGCTAAATACCCATTTAATTTAATTACTATCGAAATAATGTAAAAATTCGTTCTGTTTAAGCATTTCCGCAACAAAAGTATTTTTTGAGGCCAGATTAATATCAACACCTTATATTTTTATACGTGGCTTATGCCGAGATCCTTCGGAAATAGTGTAGCTGCCTCAACTTGAGTGAGAGAACATTTTTTATATTTTGTACATCTTTACCCGTACAATTAACAAGCATTCCATTTCTTATTGGCTTGATCTTATTTATCGTAATATTTAACTCAGTGGGGTTGACTTTCGCCTTAATATTATTTACCACATCTCACATCTCACTGAATTGGTACCCACGACCGCGGTAAAAAGTGGCTTACTTCTTACACATTCCATTTGATGGATTTTATCTTTCTGCAGGTTATTTACTTCATCCTGCTCCTTAACTAATAGTTTTAAAATATATACCTCATTAGGTAGACCATCATTTTCCTTTTGCAGCACCACCTTTTCAATAGCGCCGGTAGCTGCGCAAGACTTGCAGTTCTAAACATTGTTTTCGAAAAACACTACTTTAGAGATTTGGTTGAAACATTTCAGATGAATACGAGTATAACTATTGCATTCAGAGCCTTTGCACTTCAAACCACTGTTTCTCAGATGCTCCGAACAGAATTCACACTTTCGCTCAGCAGCATCGTCGTCTATAACACCCGGCAAGATCTGAAATCCTGGCTTTATGGCAGTTTTACTGAATACATTTCCATCAAATTTCCACATCAAGTTTATTAGGGCATTAAGTATCCGGCTAGAACATTTTTGAAATTTCCGCGTTGCGTTTACCTTATATTGCAAGTTATAAACCTCGGACCATCCACACACACGTGTTTCATAGTAGAGGGCTAGAACGATAATGCACCGCTAGAAGGAGCTTAAAGAAAATTCGTTAGTCCGATTTTTGAACTGCCGAGGGTTATTAGAACTGGGGAGCAGCACCCCAAACGTGTCAGCAGTACTCGACGCAAGGACTTACCTGGGCCTTGTATAGAGTGAGGAGGTCATACGAAAAAAAGAACTTCTTAGCCCTAAACAACTAATCTAGCTTTTTTTCCAGCGGCTGCCGCTATTGCAGTACGGTGAGTCATTCAGTTATTTTCGTGCACCGGTCAGTATGAATAAAATGTCCCATCACTATCCTAGTCGGGTCTGATTGATGTCATCTGTTGCCAGACTTAGCGTTTTTTGTATGTTATAGCGACTTTTTTCTCCACTTGTTCGATGGCGATTTCCAGCAACATTTACGGCTACATTGGTAATTCCATAAGGCTCGTTACACACATGCACGGTGACCGTCCAAACGGCACCGTATAAACGGCAAAGGGATACAGAGTATTATCATTAGTTTCACACGCACCGCGACCGTGTATACGGTAATGTTTTTCCGTGATGTCGCCGTGGCTTTCCACTGTATTTGCACGGCCTCCGTTACCGTTTAAACGGAGCGAATGTTTCAGTCGCGTATTGAAGTACAAGGAAGATTTCACACATGCCGTATTCACGGTAGTCTGATTTAATTTTCTCGTCTTTTTACATTGATCTTTTGAATAGTTTTTTGTGAGCACTTCAACGTGTAGCGTAAAATGGAAAGTGCGGATGTAGTGCACGATGTGGACATAGATATTCTTATATCATTAGTAGAAGCAAGACCCGTAATCTGGGACAAAACAAGAGATGTTTATAGACAGAAACGAAACAAGAAATGCCTGGAAGGAAATATTTTTAGAATTAAGACCGGATTTTGAAGAGTTAGAGGACACAGAAAAAAACAGCTTTGGTAAGTACAGAGTTTAATACAAAATACTATCAAATTTTAGAAAGTTGCCATTTTACAGAACCTGTGTCAGTTAAAAAGTAATAAGCTAAAATATTTCTGACATTGTTGGCTGATAATCCCCCTCGAACTGTTCCTCCTTCAGACAAATCAAGGAGTCCTGTTATTGTTAATGTATCGTCTGCTTCAAAGCCATCCCTATCTCTAACAAAGTTGTGTAGAATAACACAAGCTTTTACTATGTCTACGGCAAAGTCAGGATCCAAGTTTATGGGACGGTGAAAAATTCTCCATTTATTGCTTAATATTCCAAACGTGCATTCTATATATCGTCGAGCTCTCGAAAGACGGTAATTGAAAATCTTCTTTTTGACTGTCAAGTTATGACCACCATATGGTCGAAGTAGGTGTTTGTGTAAAGTAAATGCCTCATCACCCACAAGAAAATAGGGAACTTTAGGATTCGTTGCTCCTCGAAGACATTCTTCTTCATGTAATTGTATGTTTCCATTTTTAATTGATATCCATAATGACGATTCCTTGAAAGTGTTAGAATCACAATCTTTGCCATAAGCTCCAATGTCAACATAGGTAAACCGATAATCAGTCTGCAACTGCCATAAGAACAATAGAAGAATATCCTTTGTAATTAAAATACATTGAGCCAAGTGGGTTAATTATTCGAATGTGTTTCCCATCGACTGACCCAATGCAGTGAGGAAAATTGGCTCTGTTTTCAAATTTTGAAGCAATTATCTTCCAGTTCTCTTTAGTAGGTTTGGGTATACATTCTGCTTGCAAAACAGACCAAATACATTCACATACTCTTTTGACTATATTGCTAATTGTAGATATTCCGAGTCGATAGCTGTAATGTAGATCTGTGAAAGTACATCCGCTTGCTAAATATCTGAAAATAAAACAAAATAAAAAATAATAACTATAACAATAATATAATAATAATAATGATAATAATTATGATAATAATATTTTCTATAATAAAATCAATCACTAATATTTTTTATTTCTTTGCAGGTAAAAAAGTCATGAAGAAATGGACTAATGTTAGGGATACGTTCAAAAAATCTATGAAAAAACAAAAGAGCGCTTCAAGGTCAGGGGCTGGAGCAACAACTATAAAAGCGTACATTTATAATGACCAGTTGAAATTTCTAAATAAAATATTGACTGATCGTAAAACCGAAAATAGTTTAAAATCAAATACTAGCCAATCAGATAAATCAGATGAGGAAGAAGAAACACTGGAAACTAATATGCCTGAAGATAATGCATTAAACAACAAAGTTGCTAAGACAGGACCACCGAAAAAACGCAAAATGGATTCCGTTGAATTAGAAATGATGAAAGCCCTGAAAGAAACACCCGACCGCCATTTGTGTTTTTTAAAGGCATAATTCCCTCATTAAGCTCTTTAGACGAAGAGGAAATATTGGAATTTCAAACCACAGTATTGCAGACGATAACATCTATCAAACTACGAAATAAAATGATTCCATCTCGTCAACACATTACTCATCCTCAAGTTAATTCCAGTCAGCAACCAATAACTACAACTACAAGTCATCTCTATCCAAACATGGTTCATTCCTATCCCAACATAAGTCATTCCTATCAAAACATTCCTATCCAAACTCTTTCCCATCAAACCAAAAGTTCAGCATTGCCGAAAAGCCAGCACTATGCCAAACACTCAAGTTGAAACATTGCAACCTGTTCCTGCAACTTCAAATGCACATTCAGTCCGTCAGTTTTACGAATCAATTGGCGAAGTTATTTCACCATATTCTGTGGAGAGTCAATCATCTCAAGAGTCATTTGATTTTTCTACTTAAAATATTTTTATACCATTTAATAAGAGATAGGTTACTATTTAGATTGCATGGTCTGTTTATATAAATAAATATCTTAAGTATGGCTTTAATAAACATATAACTTCTAAAATTGAAAGTTCTTGTTTTACTTACCTAACAAAATGTGACAGCCAGCATTTCTATAGGTTGTATGCACTCTCGCATAAATGTATCTTTCTTTTGAAGAGATGTTTTTAGTCGTTGATGTAGTTCGTCAAAACTTAATACTGACATCCTGAAATAGTTATAGAACTCTTTTTCGTCTTCTCTAAGCTGCCCGAAAAGTACATAAAATGCTCCAAACGTTTTTCTTTGCATATTTATAGGATGAACCCACTTATATCTATTTCTTTTTTTCTTTTTAAGCGTCTATATAATATCATCATTGCGATAACACGTCTACGACCCATTTGCTAATAGGTAATAACCGTTTATGTGTGAAAAGTCAACAGAATAGAACGGCTCCGTATAAACGGCGCCGTTTGGACGGTCACCGTGCATGTGTGTAACGAGCCTTAAGGTTCGACTTGTTTACAGTTAAAGTCTTTTCAAGTACCTAACGTAATTAGTGATTATGCTGCGCTATCTCCCTAGCCAACATACAAAGGAGGTAAGAAGCTTCCTCTGTAGACAAAATGCCAAAAAACCGACAAAATCTCACTTTTCAAGATACGTAATACCCGTGTTGGTAGATGAAACAAGTGACTATCTGATAATTTCGAGGCCTACCTAGTAAAGGCTGTTTTTTAAATAACTAAGGTTAGACAATGTCAATGTATGACATAGCAACATAGTTTTTGGAATCAGAATTAGACGCTCTATTCACATCTTCAAAAATTCAATATGGCTTTCTTAAGAAAAAATGAAATTGATGCTGGTGGACAAGGATAAACGTCGTATTGAAATTCTAATTATGCCATCTGGTAGAGGAGAAAGAGTGGCAAGGATGATGTAAAATTTATTTTGAAATCCCACTACAAATAGAACCAGGAAAAAAATTAAAACCATTTTGGGAATAACGGTTCTCTTTCCATCTCTCTCCGGAAGTACCTTGGATTTCGAAATTTCTAAGCGGCATTAGGTAAGTTATCTAAATACGCAATTTTGTTATTTATTACCGTTTCCGAGATCCCAATGGTGAGGGTCGAGTTTAAAACAACCGGTATGTTTGTGCTGCGACATAGCTATGAATTAGCCTGTAAAGAGTGGTATAGTTGTCCATTCTTGTGGCCAGTTCTTTTAGATACTTTCTAAAATAATGAAACTATTAACTAATTACACACCAAGTACTGACCTGTATGTACATAGCAAGCAATAAGGTTACTTTACCACCCTAGGCTATAAAGAATTCCGTGGACTAAAAGGTGAGACTTACCGCTGTGAAAACCAAAAAGTATTATACTTTTCCGCGAAGTCATAGATAGAAATGAAAAGTTCATATAAATATGGATCCCAAAATACCCTCTTACAGGATGTTGATGTATAATTGAATGATATTGAATCCTTCCTCCACCCTAAACACATAATACATACGTAATATTTTTGAATGTACCTTCTCCTTTAGAAAAGTTGACTCAGTTTTTTGAATCGTATATCAGCAATTTGAAAATCGATTCAAAGGTGCCGCGTCGATCAACTTGACTCAATTTTTTAATGTGAATAGTATTCGCGTACATGCCATTAACCTCATCTACTTAAAAGCACTTAGATTAGCTTTATCTACAAAGATACAGTGCCAAAAAGTGTTTCATATCCTCCACGAACCCATTTTATGGATTACAAAGGTCTTTACCGTAATCGAGTTGAAGACTCTCTATGTAGTAATACTCTTCCAATGTATTATCTATGTATGTCAAAATATTCGCTCATTTAATTAGAGAAGAGTTTGGAATCATAAAGAACGTAATAGCTTGAAGCAACTAATGGACTTTAATCAAGAAAACGAGCACTCTGTATTTTAATCCAAATCAGAGTTGTGCAAGTAGATTAAAGAACCTCTTAAAGAGCCGATAAGGTTATTTTTTACTCAGAAAGACAATAACAAGATTACAAATTTTTTTTTGCTTTTTGAAGCAGCTATAATGCCTTTCAAATTTGATCTAAAATTTAACGGCTACGCCTTTATGGTGCAATATATTTTTACAGACAATTCTTCTTTGAAACAATTTCCTTCGTTCAGCATAACATAATGATTATTCAGTTATATTACGAGAGGAAGAGTTGTTCCATAACTACAGGATGAGTTTTTGTGTGGGCTTGGTCGATAGCTCCATTATTACGCATGGTATCTGAAAAAGTGAATTACAAAAATTGTAGCCAGCAGTACGCTCCTTATTTATTTCTATTGAACATATCAGCATAGTTTCGGAAAAACAGATCAGCTCAGACTTTGCATATTAAATCTGCAATCCTTTAATTTAGAAAAGTTATGTGTTTCTCGTGAGGATCGAGTAACTACCTGGCCGAATAATTCAATATTCGCAGAAAATGGGTAATCGATAAAATAGGCCAACTATGCCAAGTACCTGTCTGCAAACTGTGATCGACTCTACCATAATCTGATTGGTTTGGGCCTTATTACACCATTTAATGTTCTTCATATTTTATCTTTGAATAGACTTGATGTTTGATAATTGATTTTTTGAAAATATCTGGGTTCAAATTTTAGTTTTGATTAGCTAGATATCCTCTGTGTAACTATCCTCTGTAATTTACCTACCTAATCGTGGCCTAATTGTTGTGTGTCATATTCTGAAAATGCCTTAATGGGCCCTTGGGCGAGAAGAGTGTATCCCTGTCTAATCATGTCCTTACTTAAAGAAGTTATTTTTGTCAGCCACCTCAAAGCTTCATTTGCGAACCGTGCTGTAGCCCATTGTAAAAAAGGATCTGGTTAATGAGAAATAGTCCTAGTGCCATTAAAAAAAATGGCGAGTACCTATTTTATGTGATTGGACAAATTGTATAACTATTTTACAAATCTGTAAGTATTGTTTCTACTTATTCGTTAATTTGCTATGTTGTATATCTCCACGAAAACGTAAAGTAGCTTTTTGAGCAACTTGGAGATTATATCAACAATCTGTTCTCGTGCCAACCTTGATTTGTTATTAGTTCATATTTTAAAATTAGTTTATTATAGATGCACCATAGCTCTATGCTATAGCAAACATGTTTTTTAAATAAAACTTTATACGTTTTATTGCATATTTGAGTAGTGTTTCTACAAACAAAAAGTTTGATATCATATAACATATAGTTTTGATTGTCATTTGCTTAGATATTGTGTCAAACTTCTGAAAGAAGAAATCATGGTAAATAATAATTGTCCTGATTGCAATACAGTGATAGGATGAACCAAACAAGCTATTTCTTGCAACGGTTTTTGTGGTCAAAATTACCATATTTCTTGTGCTAATGTATTAGCTGATGTACTGAAAGTGCTGAAAACGCCTGGTCTTTTTTGGTACTGTCCCAATTGAAGCCAAAATAAAAAAGATTATGAGAATTTCATGAAGAACTACAAGCCATTTGAAAACGATATAAAAATATAAATGTGAGGAACGGTGGCTTGGTAATAAAATGCGACGATCCTGATCATGCAAGTAAATTGAAGGAGCTGGCTTCTCGACAGTTATCAGAAGACGAATATCAGGTCAAGGAAGTAAAGAAACACAACCCGCGCGTGAGGATTGTAGGGTTGTCCGATAATATCGATTACGACAGATTAGTCACAATGTTGAAGTCCCAAAATCATATTCTGGATAAATCAAGGGACTTTGGGGTTCTTAAGATGTGGCCGACAAAAAAACGTGAGGATGTTCACTAGGCTCTTTTGGAATTGGATCCTGTCGCGTATTCGGGCCTGTTAGATCAAGGTAGTGTGCTAATGACTGATTGTACTGACTGATTTGTACGAGGGATGTCTTTTAAGTTTGGCATATAGAAACTTAGTAGGCCGCGCGGATCGAACGTCAGTACTGAATCTCTCACTCTTTAGTAAACTTAAATTCAAAGTTTCACAACGATACGTGCAGTATTCTCACTACTGTGAATTCTTAAGTGTCACCTAGTCATTAGAAAAATGGAACTCAACCCAGAACATTTTCGCGCCATAATTTATTACAACTTTCAGAGACAATTATCGCAACAAGAATGCCTTGCTGAGTTACTGTCTGTTTTCGGCAACGAAGCGCCACATCAGTCGACAATTTCCCATTGGTATGGAGAATTCAAACGTGGGCGGGTGAGTCTTAGCGACGATCCCAGGGTGGGTGCACCAAAAACGGCAGTCACCCAGGAAAACGTCGATGCTGTGCGCAAACTCATCATTGAAGACAGACATGTGACATATCGCGAGATTGAGGCGTCCTAGAAGATCTCAAAGACCTCAATTCAAACAATTTTACATGAAGAATTGAGAGCAAGAAAATTAGTTTCTCGTTGGATACCCCACCTGTTGACTGAAGAGCAGAAAGCAGCTATGGGTTAATTTTTCAATTCCGGAAACTCAAAAAATGTGTACAGCATTGTTAGTGGTGATGAATCGTGGATTTACTGTTATGAACCAGAAAATAAACGACAGTCGGCTGTTTGGGTGTTCCAAGGTGAAGAAAAGCCAACAAAAGTCATCCGTTCTCGAAGTATTTCGAAAAAGGTGGTTGCGACATTTGTGTCAAAAGCGGGTCATATTGCAACAATTCCTCTTAATGAGCAAAGAACTGTTACTGCGGATTGGTATACCACCGTCTGTTTGCCAAAAGTCATCACCGAGCTTCGAAAAATCAACCCCGAACGAAGAATCATCCTCCACCAAGACAATGCAAGCTCGCACACAGCCCAAAAAACAAGGCAGTATTTAACGGAAGAAAACGTGGAATTATTGGACTATCCTCCATATAGTTCCGATCTAAGTCCCAACGATTTCTTTACTTTCCCGAAAATTAAAAACAGACTGCGTGGTCAAAGGTTCCAGTCACCAGAAGAAGCAGGTGACGCATTCAAAAATGCCGTTTTGGATCTGCCAGCAAACGATTGGAATAAGTGCTTCGAAAATTGGTTCGAGCTCATGCAGATGTGTATTAATCTTCGTG